TCGTGTCCAATCCTGCTCATCAATCACCCATTTCATCTGATTTCGTCAACAATCGGAATCGAATTTTGGAGAAAGCTCTGGGCCTGGGTTGTGGTTTTCAGGTCCCTGTTGTGTTGTCGTGTGTGTGTGTGTGTGTCTCTGATAGAAACAGTCCAAATCCTGTCTTCAGGGTAGTGAGAGCAGGAAGTTAGGAAGGATGGCTGCAAGGGATGAAGGGATGAGAGGACTGGGAGCAGGAGAGAGGGAGGTGAGGCTGGGGAGGAGGAGGCCAAAGGGGAGATGAGGTTTGAGAATGGGGGGATCAGTTTGGAAGTGTCAGTCTGGCTGATTGTCTGTGGATCTGACACAGCAGAGCTCTATCTATCTGAGCCTGAAAGCCTCTCTGCTTATTCCCTTCTGTGTCTTCAACCAGACACCAGTGTTTTTTCTGTAAACCCTCACCGTTTCTCATCTTTTATTTTGTTTTTTTCAATTCTAACCCTGTCTAAAATAGGTCATGTTTGAAAACATGATATCAAACTTATGGCATAGGGGCCACTTATGGCCCGCAAACCTGCCAAATGTGGACCATGACTAGATACCCCATGAAAGGGAATTTGTTTATGTATTTTAATATTTTCTCATGATTAGTGTGTTTTGGTTAGTCATTTGGGAATGTAGGAAAATGTATTTTTACTAGCTGTTTGTAGTATTACATAATTAATGATGAATTATTAAAAAAAAACAACACTTTTTTGAAATGTTGTTTTATATTGAAGTCTTACACTAATGTGGTCCTGTAAGGAAATGATCATTTCAGCAGTGGCCCTAAGCTCATTTTTTAATCTGTCTTAAAAATAAATAATACTTGTTTACTTAGTGGTATTTTGTAAGATTTTTTTTTGTAATGGCTCTACTGTAAAAGGTCACATGTGAGATTTTAAATCCATCTCAAAATGCAGTTTAATGTGTAGTACCTCTAACAGCCAGCAGGGTTTGGCTCCCAAGACACTTGAACGTTGATCATTGGTTCCCAACCTGATCTATAACCCTTTTCTTCCTCTTATGTCAAATCGACCACTGGGATTCTAATATTTACATCAGAACCAGCCCATGGTGCACTCCTTTTTTAGCTTGCGAACCAGCCCATGGTGCACTCCTTTTTTGGCTTGCTATTTACTACTTTTCAAATGACCGGGATAAAGTGATCTACCTACATTGAGAACTATAAATATATACGTATTTACTACATTGATTAAATGGCTGTAGTTGTATGGCACAACACCGTGTGACTCAGTGGTTCTATGGTTCTTACTTTAGTCCTAGGATCTTAAAATAGAATTAAAGCTATCATTTTTAATTTATTGTTGTTTCTTTAAATGTACAGTAATTGCTCAGGATCTACCAGCACTCCCTATGAGATCTACTGGTAGATCCTGATCTACCTTTTGGGCAGCCCTGGACTAGACCATGAATCTCACCGTATTGTCCTTGTAGGATGGTGAAATAACCTTTGTTTTCCCTCAAACTCACACACACTTGCTAACATTCATCTTGGATTTGCCTGTAAGGCTTTAAGAATTAGGCTTTGCCTCGACAAATCTCAGACTTGCCCTTAAGGAAGCTTTGCCCTGAGTACATCATCTTCAAAATCCTCAAGGCGTCCAATCCACTCAGTTTGGGGGAAAAAAAAAATCCAAGCAACACTATTATTGCTCACATGGGTTTAAAAAACCCCAAAAACAAACAAACAACAACAAAAAAAAAACTCAGGGCTGCAGTTTTGCGCTTTGACCAGTTGGTGTCCTCGTGCCTCCACAGACGAAGCCTTAGCCCTGAGTGACTGGTGGCGGTGAAGACACCTCTTTCCTGGCGTCCTTCTTCACCCAGTCCCTTCATCCCTGTGAGCTCTAATCATTTACTGGGTTTCATATTCATAAATTAGAATGTTTATTTACACAGGATACAGAAAACAGAACCTACGGACAGAGACTTAAGGACTGACGGATGTTTTGGAGGTTGAACTGGGAGGAACAGTGGTAGGCGAGGAGCTCGGGTGAGGGGAAATGTGGGAGTTGAAAGATGGTGCAGTAAATAGTGGGTGAAAATGAATGTGCGGGAGATCTTTGGAGGTGGGAGGGTGAGTCAGGTGTGTCTGTTATTGGAGAAAAGAGACATAGTTAGGCTTCATTGCTTCCTTGGCAGACTGTCCTCTGGAGATTAGTCTATAAACATTGCCTGTGTATTGGTGTGTCTGTGTGTGTGTGAGAGAGACTTCTTTATTTTTGTCATTACTGCCTTGGGATTATTTACAGATGCACATCTCATAATTAAACTACTCCATACGCACTCCATGACCCAAAAAACTGGAATAAAAAAACAATTAATTAGCCTTAACCCAAACTGAAGTATAATTATAAACACCTCAGCCATGAGGCTCACACACACACACACACACACACACGGAAACACACATTTACACACATTCACTCCTCTCCACTCCTCACCTTCCCTTAACTTCTGTCTAAATTTAGCGAGCCAGAGAAGGAGGGGAGATATTAGTGTGAAACTCCTGGGGAGGAGAATGCACCAGGCCAACGCTGGGTAATTAGGTTGAGCCACTTCTTGCCATTGTTAACATCCTGCTTTAATATGAGAAGGAAGCCCTCACTGACCCTTTGAGGTGTCTTCATTATGATATCTCTCTCTCCTCACCTCTTCATTTGCCTTCCCCTTTATTCATCATTACCTGGGCTTTGTTCTTTGTGTTTTCCTGGTCGTCTTCATTTTTATCTCTATTTCACCACTTTTTTATTGAGCTTTATACAGCAGGTGACAAAATAATTAGGCAAAGATAAATGACCAGAATCTGTACTTGTTGTTTCCACTCTTTTAGGACATCGTGGTTAATACATAGTGCAGAGCACCCTGAGGTTTATTTGGCCGTACACCTCTGGTAAAATAATGGCAAGAAATGAATTGAGTTATTTTTTCAAAGACACTCTGGCAGATTTGAGTCTAAGAGTACAATTCTTGTATTATTTTTTAATTGTCCTTTCTTCTTGACTGAAGCCCATTTTGAAGTTGAAGACGAGACCTAGACCCAGTATTTAGTCCCGCTCAGTCTTCTCAGACAGTCGGTCCACAAGACTTGTCAATTTTTACCCCACGTGCTTTAAGGTCATCTCTACTGCATATTCGTCTGTGATATCACAGGTTTATGGGTTGGATTCTGATCAGAGCTCTGGTTGGACCATTCTGATAACATTTTGCCTCTGCTGATCTGGAAATAGAGTATTTGCTGTGTTTGTGTCACGCTGATGTATAAGGAATGACTAGTCTCTATCTTTTAGGCAGGAACCTGGAGACTAAGTGTCAAAAAATGCTGATATTTGTTACTGTTTATAAATAACTTCACAAACCAACGACACTGTCACCACCAGGCTGCACCGTGGGTTCTTATTATATTTTTTGCTATTTCGGATAATTGGCAGTGTGGTTTTTGTCACTTTTAGAATAATCTTCCAAAAGGCAACCTTCAGAATAAATTAAACACATTTTGGGAGACTTGATTCATTTTTGGAATTGTTTTTTGTCAGAGAATCCTTCCATCCTAAAACTCCCGTCAAAACATTTCAAAATACAGCTGAATTAAAAAAAAAACCAAAACATGCCAGAAATCTCCTGCAGTTCTTTTACTCTGGCTCGAGGCCTCTTTGCAACTTATAAGACTTCTGGTTGTTGAAAATCTGGGGGTCACTGCCTGCAGCAAATGCCCAATAATTCACCTAAATATACCTCTGGTGTTTAGTATGTCTTTGGAAACAAATCCTCTTTGCTCTGCCATGCTATGTGGTAAAAATCCATTTACAACGGCTGAGCCTTATTTTTCTGGTTTGGAAAATAGGCAAAAACTGAATATCCACTTTCATTGTTTTTCAAATGTGACCAGTTTGACTTCTACATAGAATCCACTACCATCTATCCATCCATCCATCCATTCGTCCATCTCTGCCTATCCAAATTGATCACTGTATTTTGGTCTGTTTAGATAGCAGGGTGATGAACTAAATTAACAACAGTAAGAGCAGGGTCAGGGTTCCAATCCCCCCTTATGCTTTAATTCCTCCTTTACTCTGTCTATGAAGATTCTCAGTCATCCAGCTCATGGTCAAAGTTGAAGAGTTCTGTTAGGCAACTGGATGTGAATCTTCCCAAAGAAGACGTTTCGCCTCTCATCCAAGAAGCTTCTTCAGTTCTGAACTGACGAAGCCTCCTTTACTCTACACAGCCGCCCTGAAACGTAGCAGTGTATGACACCTGATGGCAGCAAACCTCTGGTTTGGCACAAGACACGAGACACGTGCACAGCAGAGAAATGGAGAGTGTTAAAAAAAAATCAGAATGACTAAACTAAGACACGTCTGTTTTTTTTTTAATACTCTGCAAAGACAATGACGTTACTGACATGAATAATTCAGTGTCTGCAGAGACTCTCTTATTATAACCTGGTGATTCTCAGGCAGCTGCAGAGAAATAACATACAGAGAAGTAAGTCCTTGTGTGAAGTGATCATCTTATAGTTGGATTCCTGGTGTTTTCCCTCCTTCCGTCTCCCTCTCACAGTGACACTGACCTAGTACTTTAATTGCCATTGTCAGGGGAGACTGTAAAGAGGGTCATGAAGCCTCTGGTGCAACATCCTCCCTGTTTGGATTCCTCGTCCCGAGCTCCAGGGGAAAATACAGGGCGGCTAACGAGACAATGCGCACTCTCCACACGTGTAGACAAATCCCACAGTACTCAACGAGTGCCGTCCGTGACTTCTTCAAATCCCCAGAACAGCGTGTACATCTGGTTGTTTTAAATATTTCACCGTTTTTATTTTCCTTCAGTGAGATTTATTTTACGATGATGACAAAAAAAACCAAAAAAAAAAAACATAGACGTGTGGAGCTGGTGTTTATGTACTGGTCTTATTCAAAGGTCAAGTATGCAGGAGTTTTGTGTTTGTCCGGGTAAAGACTCCATGTCCTCCTCAGGGGGTGCTATACACATGGCTTTAATCAATTGCTTTATTAGTAGAGTGAGTAATCCCATTACTCTGTTTTCTGCAGATTTTTGTTCGAGTCAAGGTTGATCAAAGCAGAAAAGGCAGAAATGATGCCTGCTGGGTGCTAGTCCAGAGCATCATGTCATCTTTTCTGATGTTACTGTGGCAAAACCTTAATCATGCTCTATTATTGGATTCACAGATTTGCAACAAAAACAAAACAACTCTGAGGTTTGGCAATTCAATTGACTCTTTTCAAAAAGATTTCCCTTTAAGTTGAAATGGAGGAGCTAATGCTACAACCACCTGTGATTTATTTTAAAACTGCAAACATACTTTGAATGGGATTTGTCTGTCCTACAGTAGGAACAGTAAACTGTAACAGCAGGTCTGTTCAGTTTACTATCACCCTGAGGAGTCAACAGTTCTGGATTCAAAAAGGTCATAATCATATTCCAGCTCCTCCTCCAAGAGCTCTGTGGCGTTCATGAAAGTTTTACTTTGGAAGTGAACAGCGAGGCCATTCCTACAGATGAACCTAGCGCCTTATCAGCGGGCTGTTCTTATACATTTTAGGACGCATTCCAAACATGAATGTGATCATGGCTCACGACAGTAGAACAACTAAAACTACAACTTCTATTGATGGAAACACTGGTCTGGGAAGACCAGTAATTGTAGGTCGGCAGATGCCGATAATGGGAACAGGCGTCAATGCCGTCATTAGTATGCATGAGGTGCATGTGTGTGTATGTTTTTATCAATTCTAATTTGCCTCGCTCTGGGTTTTTTTAGGAGATGTATTCCAAAGGCATGATCCTGGCCACAGCTATCAGACAGGTACGAGGACTGGGTGACAACAAGTTTGAGGTGGTCACCTCTCTGAGGACCTTCATATTCCGGGCCGATAGAGAAGGTACAAAGAATGCATCAGTCTTCTTCTACTTCTTGTTGTCCAGTGTGTTGTACCCTTCCATCCACTCCAGCTTTTGTTCTCTCTGCCCGTCTGGCCTCATTTTTCTCCTACTCTCTCTTGTTCCTCCACCTCTGTCTATTTTTTTTCTCACCACTTCATTTTTGTTTGTCTCTCTCAGCCAAACCTGCTGTCTCCAGACCTCTCAGTGGTAATCTTTTTTTTCTCCTCCTCCTCCTCTTCTACTCTCTTTTGCAGTTTATTGTCTCATTTCTTTCTCTTTTTACTCCCCACTAAAGAAGAGCATTATCAGTTTTCATTTGTACTTTAAATGTAGAACGACAGTTATCTCTGCACAAAACTGGGGGGAAAAAGCAAATTCAGCAAGTTTCTGAAATCCGAGCACCAGTCATTCTGACTCTTCAGAATAAAAATTCCATTTGACCAGAGAACAGTTTTCCTGTTCTGTTGCTGCCAGACAGTCAGATTTTCATCTTTCTTAAGTCAACATTTTGTGAAAAATTTTGTCATTATGGATGTTCTGCTGGGCGTTCACTGGTCAGAGGTCAAAGGTCACTCTGACAAAACACTCTTGGCTTCGTTCACACTAAATCCCTCTTTAAAAGTCAACACAAGCAATTTTACACTTTACAAGCCTGTGAAGTAAATTTTTTATGTGGTCGCTGTTATGCAGTACAGGTACTGTATATTACCCCTTGGTACTTAATCTTAATGATGTGTTTTACCTTGCCTGGCCTTGTCCAGCCCTATAATATACTCATAAAGTAAAACTAAAACCGTCGTTTTATAGTAACAGTCCACGTTGTTCAGTCTTCGACACAGACAGTTTGGTTTGTCTCCATGTTTAATACGATTGATAATTAAATTAATCAGATATTCAAAAGAATATTCATTTTGTTATAAATTACCAAATGTTGACCAAATAACTGCAATTTATTACTAATTTAATGCAATTTATAAAGTCCTGTAGATTAATAAATAGTAATAATTCTAGATAAACTTGACCTGGCATACACAAATTTGCTGACAGCTGAAAAGTTTCTCCACCTTAAAAAAACAAACACAAAACAACATCAACAACAAAAAAAAGAAACACAGGTATGGTTGCAAAAGTGCAGACAACTTTTGCCTTGAAATTGCCAAAGATGATTGCAAAATAAGTAGTTAGCTAAGTGGCTTGCTAAATAACTTTTAGCAAAGCAACAAACTTGTGCCACAGATAAACAAATGTTTATCTGTAAATAAGCTAATATTATCATCATTCTCAAAATTAAACAGACATTGACTTTAGTCTGATATACAGTCTCTGATATACCTGGTGCCTCTGTGTGTACAGTACAGTTGTCAGGTGAGAGTTATTGGCAGTAACAACTAAATGTTTCTGCCTGAACTTTTTGGTCTAAATGAAGAGAACCTCAGTTCTCCTGGTAGCTCCTCACTTTAGTAGTTCTGTCTGCGTTAGCCTTAGTGCGGGAGGAGAGAGGTACTCCTCCCTCCTCTCCTCCTGGCTGCTTGATGGCAGTCTATTAGTCTGTCCGGATCAAAATGTTCATTTGCTAATCAAGGTCCATTTCTGGGGTCAGCTCGCGGCCAAGCCTTTGATTCATGTGAATGAGTCAGAATGGAGAAATTGAGTTTTGCATTATTACTGCCTTCGACTCACTGTGCCGCACCGCCCCCACTCTCCCTTTAGAAAAGATTGAACCCGAAGCTCTCAATTGACAACATGGCCCAGACCTCCATGAACTTAATTGACATATTGATAACCACTGGGCCAGGAATAGACGCATCAATATTTGACCTGATATCGAGGATCAACTTATTGCACTTGATGAAAGTTCTGGTGGACGTTCAGTTGACGCTGAGGCAGAAATAGATACCATACCGGTATTGGAGATAAAACTTAAAGAAAGGAAATATAAACACAAAGAGTTGAGTTGTTGGCTTGAAAAGTTAGCCAAACTTAGCCAAAAAAACAAACTCATATTTTTACTGCTTCAACACCAGAAACTGAGGATATGTTGCCAAAACACTGGTCTAAGCAGTAAAAAAAGTAGACTCGCTCTGAACAGCGAATGCTAAGCTCAAATATGTGCTACTGTACAAATGGAGATTAAAGTTAGCCAAAATAAAACTAGATGAGCAGTGTCCTTAAAACACCACAGAAATATCATGACAACCAAATATATATTATAAATAACTGCACTTTATGAGACAGAAATGTGTGACTAAAACAGGTTTTATAAATCTTATTGAAGTTTATTTTTTTATTGTTATTGTCTCCTAATCACTCTCTGTAGCATATGTTTAGCCTCATAAGTTACAGAGGGGAAATGTCTTTCTTTTTCATTTCATGGGGATATTTTTATCACATTATCAGTTTTTAGAATCCAGTCATTTAGGCTCATCAGCCATGACAGAAGTCGTTCTTTTCCTACTGTTCATTTCTACATCAAAGCTCAGGGGACTCACATTTCTGCTTTTTTCTTTCTTTTGTAATTCATCACAAAGTTATTACTTTGAAAATCAAATGAACTGACCAACTGAAACAGGACCATTGTTCACAACATACAGAGGTTGTTTTCATGCCAGGCTGCTAAACACTTTCTATTTTGTCACCTTAGAAAAAATGAAAAGAAAAAACTATATATAGATCATTTGTTTTGAAAGGTTAATGATCCTAGTTTTTAATACTTCAATACAATTTATTATAATAATGATTAGTTTGATGTAGGTTGGTCTTGTGTTTGCAGGAAATAATGCATTTGTCTGGTGACAGATAGATAGATAGAATCTTATTAATCCCTCGGGATTTCCTTTGGGAAATCTGGAGTGATGAGGACATGACTAACAGTTAATTCAAACATGTTCAGAACAGTTCCTGAAATTCAGGAGGAAGTTAAGGTGGTATTGTTTTAGTTTGTTAACTCATACTTTGTTTATGTTCCAGTTATAGAACTAACGTTAAACTCCCAGAAAATGACAAAATAACTCCGTGTACTGAACTAGTGTCTCCTTGAAGAGTCCAGCACTGCAGCTTCTCTCTCATTGCGAAGCATCAACAGTGTCATTTATCACTCCGTCCGCTGCTTGATGGTCATACGTCACACTCAGCTGTCTTGACAACTGTCTGCTCTGGTTGTGGCCTCTGACCGCCCTGGATCAGCGGGAGAATAAAGAGCTGGGGAAGCAAGGACGAGAGAGAGGGGAGAAGGGGAGAAAAGTTGGCCTCATCACCTCATGCATCTTTAAACAGGCCCACTTGCCTCGTGGCGTAAAGCCATCAATCTTTAGGGAAGCGCAGGAGGAAAAAAAAGAGTGTAGACAGGACGAGGCGTGGAAGGAGAAAAGGAGTGGTTTAGTGAAGTTAAGGCGCTGTAGGGCTGAGGCAGAAGAGTGTGATGGTCCAGCAGAGTGCTGAAGAGTGCTGCAGGGCACCCCAAGTAGCCAGGAAGAAGGGATTAAGTGATGGGAGTAACAGAATGATGGGTGAGACAAGAAGGTGGAGGAAAAATAAAAGCAACAACAAATGGTAAAAAAGCCGAGATGGCAAGGGGAGATGAAAAGGCCAGACTAAAGACAGAGTGCAGGAGGGAGAACAGAGTGAATAATTGAAGGCCACCGGAGAGAGAGTGTGCACACAGCTGTCGGTGGTTCTCCACTCGGTCAGCAGGTGGCCTCTTCCCTCAGGTGCTGTCAGACCCAGATGGAAGGAGGAAGGAAGGCTAGGGGGAGAAGGGAAGAGGAGAAGGGAGTGAGCAGTGGCAGGGACGGTGGGGAGAAGAAAGCAAGAGGCAAGGAGACTCTGGCAGGAAGTTAGGCTGCGGAGGGAAGTGACGGGAAATGGTTAGGACAAGGAGAGAAGAGGAGAGAGGTGTGGGTGAGGTGTGTGGAGAAGATGCAAATAAACAAGGAGAAAAGAAACAGGGACTTACTGTGAGGGTGAGAGGGAAACTGTGGATGATTTGTATTCTGCCGTTGTCTGCTCCCAAAACATCCTGGGTTTGTTGGAAATGACAGGGAGTCGAGTTAAAGGAAGAAAACAAAATGTTTGGAAGGAGGCCAAAGAAGAGAAAATGCTGACAAAATATTAAATCAGGAGGACACGGAGTTGGAGTAAAGTTGTACAAACATACTCCAACTGGTAACGTTCACACACGGCGCCCCAAAAAAGTTTCTTTGTGTCTGAGCTTCAGAGGCTCATAGTGACTCGCTGATCCTCAACTAAATCCAGTCTACACTTGTTAAAAAAAAACGACAACCTTGTAATCAACATTTTGAACAAATGATAGACTTACTAAACAACTTGACCTTTTTTGAGGTTTTTGTAGTTCAACTAAAGTAGAGCTTGAATTTGATTTTCAATCCCTTCATCTGTGTACAGAATTGACATGTTTTAATGTTTATGCCAACTATATTTTTTGATTTGAGTAAGGTATCAAATATTTTTGTATCCTTTATTTGTTAGGTTGATTAGTTATTTTGTGTAATATGTAGCTTAGCAACATTTGTTGTTTTTTTTTATTCTAAACAACAAAAAACAAATTACCTGTATAGCTGCTACTTGGAAATAATTTATTTTTCATAAAGATATCTTACCATTTTTCTTTCTAAGACAGAATCACCCAAAAAGTTATTAAGCATGGAAACATGGATTTATTCATGTTTTTACTGAAGGTTGGGACACAAAAGTGGAAAAAAAAACAGCAACACAAAAATTGTCAAAGCTTTTGGATTTCTTTTTAGTTGCCCTTCAACAGCAGATATGCTACATAATTATACACCGACTGCAACATGATATCACAAACCCATTGAGTATGTCAATGAAATAAGGACGTGCACAGGCTTTACTGTGTGAGTGTGTTTTAGTCCAATCTGGGGACAAGGAATGGAGGGAAAACAAGTGAAAACAGCCTCCACTCCAGGTTGTTCTTTATTTTATTTTTATTTTTTTACCCCGTTGAGTGGGTATGAAGGTTTCTTAGTAGAACCCAACAAACCCTCTGCTTGTCTTTATTCATTTAGAACAGGGGTTTCAAACTCTATTTATTGAAAAATGTATGGCAGTTGTCCATGTCTTCCCTTCTCTCCAGATATGTAATGTAGAATTTTTTCATATGGAAACAATCTGGAACAACCACAGCTTTATATTATAAACACATGAGAAATTAAATTCGAAGTAAAACACACATCAGTGGTTTTTGTTTCTTATTATGTTTCTTTATCTGTAGCCTTTCAAGTTCCTGGGCTTTTAGGAATGGGGCTAATTGTATGGGGGAGTGTCAGAAAGTTCCAGGACACAGTTAGGATTTTCCAGAAGTGTTCCTCCTGTGTGGTCCTCCACAAATAAGTGACCACATAACCAGAATAACATGACAGGAATACTGCAGTCTTGCTGTGTTGACCTCAGAGTTGATTACCTGTGAACTGTGCCACTTTCTTGCACATTAAACAGTGTTCAACTAAAAAAAAAAATACAATTAAACATGTTTCTCCACAGCTTATCTGAACACAAAATAAACCCCAGAGAATTTCCTGTAACACTGTAGACACCGTGCTATCAAAGCCACCAATGTGAGAAGACAAAAGACTGTCACACAGATACACACACATCACAGGTCTGCAGCAGCGGCACACTCTGCGCTGACAAATAGGATCAAGAGGCAGAACATCTAACTGCAGGCTCTTCAGAGAAATGGAAAAAAAAAAGACATTCACAAGTTTTCGAAAGTTAATGTACTTCAGTCATAGGAAGAATTACTAAAAAAAACCCTGACAGATTGATTGACGTTTTAATGGAATAAAATGACGTCGTCAGAAGAGTGGAAAACATTTCCAGGTCAAACGGGGGCATCGTTTCATTCATTTCCCTTTTTTTTAATCTGTTTTTATAGAACAATGAAGGCTAACAGATTGGAGTTTGCTGAGAGAGCTGCGAGACTCAATTCTCCTGATTATCTCTGATTATCTCCTGGGTCCAAAAGAAGTTTCCACTTCATCATCTATTATCTCTTCTCTTTCAGAATAAGCTCTAAAAACACAAGTTCAAGTGTCCAAGTTTTGTGATGTCATTTCTCAAACACAACATTAAGAGAGAAAAATAAAAATAAGCTTTTGCTCGTTCTGATAACAGCTGTCTTCATCAAACCCTCGGTTAGCCTCCTCAGGTGTAGGCGTTATCTGCCCGGTTTGTTCTGTTTAGGTTTTGACCACATTTTCTGTAATTATCCACAGATCCACGTGGGTCACGTCTGAGTGTTTGAATGGGTGGCAGTATTTTTTATTTAAAAAAAAAACAACCCCAAAAAACCCATTTATTCATTCATTCCTCCTCTTATCCTTGACTTTCTTCCCTACTACTTATTCTTTTTTTTGACCTGGTTAGTCTTTCTTCACCTTCTTCCCCTCTTCCTTCTTCTACTCCTACTTTTTTTTCTGCCCTCCATCCTTTTTCTCCTCTTCTCTCTCTGACTTCTCCTCCTTGACCTTCTGGCCCTCCCCTTCCTTCCTCTTCTCCTTCTACTTTTCTTCCTCCTTCATCTACTATTCCTACCTCCATGGCTTCTCCTCCGTTTTCTTATTCTCCTCCTGTGTCTCCTCCTTTGCCACAGCAGGTCATCTGTCTACCCCCTACCACTCCCCCCCCCAAATACTATATCTGGTCCCAAAGCCAGTTCTGGTCTACTAGCCCTGCACCCCAGACTCCTGTGAATTCACAAAGAACAGTTGTAAATAATGTAAAGCGCTGTTCAATTATTGACTGATCTTCACTTGGTCTGTTCCAGCTCTGTTCTCTCAGTTCCATTACATTTCCTCCACTCACTTATTTGTCTCCTCATTTATTCAGTGCCAACTCAGTGTTTTTTTGTTTTTTTTTACCCAGACTGCGACTATGAGCAGAGTGTTGTTTTCTCCACACAGATGTCAGTCCTAGGTTGGAAAGTGTCTCAAATTAATAATTTTTGTAATTAGCAAAGGTTGGCAAAAAAGATAAAGACCCATGTCACATGTATGTAGATCATACATGCGACATGGGTGAAGGTTTCCTCATTGCAGGTTATTGTTGCTATGATCACCAAATTCTGAATTGACTAAATGTATATTTATGTTGTAACTTTTGTTGGCTGAAGATCTGCACAACTACAGTGAGAGGGTGAAGTCGATCATTGACAACATTTCCATGAAAGTTTCACTGTAGACCGATGGCTGTACCACTTCCTGTAAACTCTACTGCAGACGTGTTCCCACATCACGTCTTGTTACTTGTTGACCTAATGTGCTGTTACGTTATACAAAATACATAAACCTGCCTTCTCTCTCTGCTGTTACTCACTTTTCCCGTCCTCAAAAATTGAAACATTATTCACTATCTATTTCCTTTCCTGTCTGCTTCTGTTTCTCTCTCATTCACGTGTCCACAGGGGAGCGTCAGGAGTGGATGGAAACTCTTCAGTCTGCCACGCAGCCCCCGTCCTGCAGCTCCCAGAAGCCCTCCGACAGCCTTCTCCACCCCCCCTCCACAAACAGGCGAGGCCTGCTGGATCTCCGCGGTTACAAAGGCAGAGTGCTGGTGTCCCTGGCGGGAAGTAAAGTCAGGCTCTGTAAAACAGAACAGGTATGGAGCACGCACCGTTGGGACTTCCTCTCAACAGCATGACAGCTTCCTGTTGGAGCAGGAAAGATGCAATCAGAGGCTGTGTGAGGTGTAGGAGGCAGCTCTCATGAAAGAGATGGAGATGTTCATGCATGTGTAATGGTGAGAGTAAATATTGGCCTGTATGTGTGGAAATACTACAGGGGTTTGATAAGGAACGCCATTCACTGCGTTTGTACCTGCGAGCTGATGGAAGCTCACAAACGTGTTTCTCCAGCAACCACATACTGTGGTGTATGTAAAGTCAGGAAGTGACTCACTGTGACACTACAGGAAGGCTCCACAAGTTTGATGTTAAACATATTCTAGCATAACAGTCAGAGTCGCAAGTTGATAAGCCAGAAAAATTTGGTAGGTATACATATTTACTGATGTTGTTGAAGGTGATTATTAGCAAAACACATTGCCATTGAATATTTTGTCCCTTTTTTTCTACAAAGCCCCTGAGACGCCGTCACAGTCAGGCAGTGAATGTGATTGGTTGATGGTTCTCTGATAGTTGTTGCTGAAGGCCAGACTTGCATGGATACACTGCATGCTTTGGATTTGTCACTGTTTTTTAAACAAACATATTCCTTGAACACAAATATATTTTTCATTTCCGATCTCCCACTCCTTCCATGTCAGACATGAGTGACAGCGCGGTGACTCTCTGTAAGTCTGCTTTATCAGAAGAGGAGTGTTTTTAATACACTCTCTGCGGAAATGACATAAAAATCGAATTCTTGTTATTATTTTCTCCTCCTCCAGGTTGTCTGTCTTCTAATTCCCCTTGATTGACACTTTTGGAGTTATTACCAGTTTTTACAAAATAACAGAAAAGTAGTGAAATAAAAAGCACCGACAGCACTGGTGTGTTGTTTGGTGAGATTCGTGAAGTTAAAGGCTGCCTGTCGGTCCACTCAGACATGGCAGCAGCTGACAGCATTGTGTTATTTTGCAGAATTAGGCTCAAACGGACGATTGTCTCCCTGCGCAACTGCAGTTTGGTCCGACTGATGTGTAGCTGTCAGTGGCAGACAGGTCTCACTGCGTTACTGCTCTGTGAAAATCCTCCGAACGCTGCGGCTCATCTGTTTGCATCATTTTTTAGAATTCTCCAAAGGGAAACGCACACAGGGAGAGGTTATGAGCTTCGGCAAAATGATGCCATTGAATGTGACGGATGCACTGACTCTGATTTGTCAGGATTCTCAGAATGTCAGAGAACAGAAAAAATATCACAATAGATAGTAATGTTTCTCACTCTTGATTGGATGAAGATCATTAGTTGATTTCTAGTGTAACTCTTAGTTGATTTTAGCAGCAGACAGACTCAATGATTTCAGAAGAGACTGTGCTGTGTTGGTGTTGTTTAGGTTTCAAGACTGTAAAAATATTCCCAAACATTGCATGCTAAGCAGTTCTAGTTTTTGTACTGAATATTTATGTTGCAACAATTAAGATTTCTCAAGCTTTTGGACTAATTAGGATGTATTTTTCTGTTTTCTTCCCTTTTTTTAACAAGCTCTCTCTTTACTGTGACGTTAATTTGCTGGCCTGTAACTTCTGACATTTCAACAACTCAACCGCTGCTTAGATGGAAAGTGCAACCTGGAAAAGAAGTTTCAGAGTTTTTGTTGAAGTTTTTCTGTAAAGATAGAAATGCTTCTGTCTTTTCCCTCGTTCTCCGAGCTTCAGGTTCTGGAACAGTTTAGTGTGTTTGGAAATTGAGAGTATTATAGCCCTGACCCTCTTTTTATCTGTATGGGTGTATACCTATTTCATCAACATCTTCCTGTCTTCTTACGTACAGTGTTGTGTGTGTGTGTGTGTGTGTGCATATATAAGTAAATAACGGGGCAACTAGAACAATGTCATTAAACCAATATTATATTTCTGTTAGTCACAGGTAGTGGTTAATACACAGTGTTTACCCTTTATTTCCTTCCTCACCCTCACATACATTTATGTACATGTTTATTAATGCCACACACATCCATCTCATTCCCATCACTCCTTGTTTTCATCACATGTTTTTGTCTCGCTCCTGTAGTTCTGTTGTTTGCCTTTCATTACTTTCTTCATTAAGGTGAACAAATATCTCTGTAACAATTCTCTTCTGGGCACCGCTGCATGTCAGCACATTTCCTCTCCCCTGATCTGAGACGGCGGCAGGAATCGTAGGGAGGAAACTAATGGAAATCTGAGCACCAGCAAATTAATTGTGTTGTAGTTTAGCTTACGGGTCGTAGCTCTGGCTGGGATGCAGGGGAGCTACAGTACAAGAGTGGTGCAATGTTCATAGGAGGGAAAGCAGAATCAATCATTTAAGTGGTGAGATGAAAAGGTGATTAGGGATAAGGATGGAGAAGAGGTTCTTGTAGAGAACCAGCTCTTATTGTTCCGGTCCATTGGCGTTGTTAGTCTGAATGCTTAATGATTCTGCCGATCGATTTCACACTTTAGTGATAATAAATCAGTTAGATGCTTGTTACTCAGTCAGTTCACTGGAGTACAGTATTTAATCTCACTTGATGAAGTAGTTGTTGGTAACGTCCTCGCACATTCTTCCTCCTCCTCCTCCTCCTCCTCCTCACATCTCCACCTCTGTCCTGTTTCTCATGGATCATGAACTCCATGACAGAGTCCATATTGAGGCCATTTAAACTCACATGTTTAGAAACTCAACCTGTGAATCATCCAGTCATCACTGGCTTCACAGACCAAACACTGCAGTGGCTGTTTTTTGATTTGACATCATCTCATACATTTCTTTTTAATTTGTCTCCACAGCAGCTGTTGATCCACAGTTAGCTGAGACAACAGTAGCCTGACTGTTGTTTTACATGCAGCCATGTTCCTACCTCCTCACTCAATGCTCAGGAGCTGTCTTTCTTCTTCCTGCTTTGCAAAAGTTCCACAAACACTGCAGAACCTTCTCTGGTGGAAAAACACAATACCAGCAGCAGAGACGGAGAATTTAATTATTCTCTGCTTTAATTAAATCTCATTCTCATTTCCTTTTCTTGAGATCGTCTTTGTAACAATTAGCTGGATTCCCAAGACTGCAAGGCCATTTTGTTGAACTTGTGTCACAGCAGGCTCTTCGCTTGTAAAGCTGTTAATTGTTTTTGCATTAATAATACAGCCTGAATAATAAATTCAAGTACTGTTGATGACATTTGGTATTACATTGTTATATGTTTAGCAGCATTAGAGCAACATTGTGGAAGTTCTCAGAAAGTGTATTCTACAATATTAATAGTTAGCTTTCTGGTCACAGCATCTAAATGCACCAGTTACTGCTAAAGAAAAAAAATCCTTAAAAAAAAAAAAAAAAATATATATATGTATAAATAAATTGAAAATACTTAATTTATTTATTTGTTTTCTTTATATCTGGGAGATAAAAAAAAAGGTTTATCTCAGCACTTATGAGCCTGATCAAAACGTCTCTGCCCGCTTGGAGCTTGACTGTTAGTTAAGGTTTTCATTCTTCCAAATGCTCAACTCCAGAGCTGGACGTGGCCTCAAGCAGCAAAACTGCTTCACTGTAAAAAAAAAAAATTTCCTGAGCCAAAGTAATTATTATGTTTATTAAATCAGAATGTTTGTATCTCCTGTTCGGTGCAGTTTTCATGTCATTTCTGGATATTGTTTCCTTTCTCTCACCACAACTGTCGTCGCTCCAGCTTCGTCGTCCTTGACTTGTTTCCTTCTTCTTCACTTGCTTGGTCTTTAAATTAATCAAAAGTCCTCCGTTTAATGCCTCTTCTTTTCAACTAACCTTTCCCCTTTGTGAGGCGGCCTCACCCAGCATGCTTTGAGAGCACCTTAAGTGGCTGAGTGGACAGAGGTGGAGATAGAAACACAGCGGATGTCTGTGTTTCTCTTCTTCTTTTAGACTACCGTTGGCTCACACAGACGTGGTTGGCGTATAATCAGAGCTGATTTACTCTTTTCAGGTAAAAGTTGTTCAAATCTGTTGGATGAAAAAATACAATTTAGTGTGTATTAAATAAGATATTTCTGCTTTAAAGTGGTCGGATGAAAAGGTAATGATGCTGCCCTCTGTCTGCCTTTTCCTTTTTGCTACTTTTTTCATTGTAGCTTAAAAGTTCTTGCCTGATGGTCGTTCATCTACTTTCTGCCTAATTAATTTATTCATTTAATGGGTCATTGAGCAGGAGTCAATCTGCACTGTCATTGGGTGAGGGTCGGTTTTAACCCTGGACTGTTCACCAGTCCATCACTGGACAGAGACCATGTGGGGAACATTTTTTACAACACTGTCAGTGTACAGCTCCACAGACCAGCAGGTTCTCAGCGATAAAATACCCAGTGGTAAAAAGTCTGACCGCCCTAAATGCTTTGTAAATCTAGTTGATGGTTGGTGATCTTGCAAGCTTAACAACAAATTTACTCTAGCTAACCAGGGCATTTTTACTGCATTAATAGCACCCCCTACAGGGGAGACCGGGAACCTATAACCTCCTTGTTTGGAAAAAAAGAAAAGAAAATCAATTTGAACTTCCTACCTTGCATTACATGTAATATTTTTTCAGCGTGTCCAAGGAGTAAAATCATCGTGCATTTGCCTCCTTGTGTCTCTCTGTCAGTACCGTTATTGCCACCCAGCCCTCGGCTGTTTTAAGTGATTGGGTTATTTTTACCATTAATGCCTTACCCATTCCTCCTCCTTTCCTCCACACCTGGTGAATTAATTGGAGAGGGCAGAAGGCCACAGTGAATATGGTGCACATAACGAGTGGAGGGGCCGGACTGCCTCTAACACCGAGCGCTGTAATTGGCTGCCTGAGAGGGATGAGGGTCATTAGGTAAAGGTGACTGCTCTGCCCTCTGGGTGCAGTTAGTCACATATACTGTATTTCTACATATGCTGTATATACTGACAGGTGGGAGCACTGGTGAATGGCTGTGAACATACAGAACCTGAAGCAGAATGAATATTTTATAGAACATGTATTATATGGATGTCTTTGCTGGATTGTAGAAGACTATTGCAATAAAAGTTACTACAGGTTTTACAACAAGAAAATACCTTTATGCTTTGATGACAAGCTTCAAATCCAACAGTCAGTGTCTGCAGCTCACCATGGAGGAGTTGGAATGTAGCAGTAACAGGTGAAATGGTTTGGTATTAACATCACAGTTGGGTACATTCACTACAGAAAGAAATGTGAAAAGAAACAAAATTAATTTTGATTTCTAAACAAGCTGCGACACAAGCTAGCACACGTGCTGGTAACAGAAGACTCTAACTAATGGCTAACATTTAGTTCCTGAAATAAATCTTATTTGAATGTATTTATTAACTGCAGCTGTTAGCTGTCTGTGACTTCACAGTGACAACACACTTTCTTTACCTTCATCAACTCATTTTTTCTCTCTGCAAGTTTGGGGTCAAATGCAGAATCTCCTGCCTAATGTGCACGTGGGGTCAAATGCAGAATCTCCTGCCTAACGAGCAGGGGCCACCACATCGGTTTTCTGCATAGTGATTTTTGGACCAAGTTATTTTGTGCAAAACCCATTCCGGGATTTGGAGACAAGGTTGTATGAACCCCAGAGGCCTACAACTGCCTCCCTCTCGCCACTGATTGAACAGTGTTGCTTTTAGATTTGACGACAGAACAGTTAGAAAGAATGGAGTTTGATGCTTTAGTTTTGATCTCCTTGACTGCCGTGCCCTCATTATCACATCACACATTTTCAGACTCTGAACAAGAAGAACTTTAAAGATAAAAGAAACAACTGTGCAAAGTTATAAATGATTGCACCGAGGCCTAAACGCTCACATCAAAACTTTTATCTAAATGGTTTCTCCCACTCATCTGCACTTGCCTTGCTTTATCTCAGTATCTCTGATGTCAATCCCTTAATTGCTCATAATGCTTCATGGCATCACTTCATGTTTTGCTATAATTTTATTCCTCTATGTAATCTTGTAGGGGGGAAGAACAATTTAGTTTTCCTTTTCAGTCTGTCAGGATTAACTTAATGGGGGCTAATGACGGTCAAATCAAGAGTTTGACAGCAACAATTAAACTAGCCCCACACAGAAGTAAGGCATCGGCTCAGAAGTCTTGAGGAAGATGGCCATTTAGCTGGCTGTTCTCAGTGAAGTTTTTCCCTTTGTTGCCAGAATTTCTTTACATGTTTCCTTTAATGTCACTGAAGATCTTGCTTCATAGTTGGCTAAGGATACTGTAGGTCAGGTCTGTAGCTGGAAAGTTATTTCACCAAAATGTGCTAATTGTTACCAGGACTTGTGTTAGCTAAACCGAATGTCATCTTAGTGAAAAAGAACAGAGTGATCGTTGTTATTGGGTTTGCTTCCTATCGGTCTTTCCATGTTCATTGTCATCAAATAGCTGTTAGAGATATTGAGCCTGTTGGTGGCGCTGCTCTCTGTATGAAGCTAAAAACACTACATGAATATTGTGTGTTTGTTGCCAATTATCTCCAGAATGGTTCCCCACACGTTTTCTCACGCTGTCACAGTAGAATGTTTATTTAAAGACACAGTGTTGATTCGTTTCTTACTCTTTGTTTTGTGTAATTAGCTGTAATTGTTTTGCTGTTGAAGAGCATTTAGCAGAGGAAAAAATGCACGCCTGTGCTTTCCGTTTGGCACAGCATGGCAGCAGTCTGAGCTGCTTGTTCGCTTTCTTTGGCTCTATTCACCATAGATAAACCACAGTAGTTTCTTTGGCTCTATTCACCATAGATAAAACCACAGTAACCACTACTACTAGTCTATACTACTCTAGAGGTAGTTTTGGTTTAAAAGTATCACCCACTATCTGCATTGACCACTAAATCTATATTTTCTCTTCTTTTTTTTTTTTTTTTTTAACTTTTGTCATATTCTTTGACTGCATCACAGGTTTATTTATACGCCTTGCTGTTTTTATACTGGCATTTGTAATTTTATTTTTTTGTAATGTTATTTATAATTAAACCTGCACAAACCTACACAATTAAACAGTTTTTAGTCTAAATTTTAGTCTAAAAACCAAGACTTTCTCTGGTTGATTACAGCCCTAGTTGGGAGCATCTATTCATAAAACACATTTCTTCACAAATGGTGCTGGTGTTAACAAAAACCCCAAGTCATTTTCCTTGAATATTCCTGCTTTCTACAACCTCCAAAAACGTCTAAACTTTAAAGGTCGACCATGGGGGAACATTCATGTTTCCTCCGTTACCAGGTTCATTTGCAGATGAAGAGTTGGAGCTACAGCCTGTCCTTGCTGCTGGCTACCCCTTTTTATTTCCTTTTTTTTTATACTCATTTTTTTTTCAAAAGCTAATCCTCACGTCCCAACCTGTAACTGCTTACAGAGGAACTGAACTTTACTCTTAAGTACTCACTTTGATAAAGAAAGTTGTCACAGACATTGGTAAATTAGTCCAAAATACACATTTAAGACATTAGTGCACATAGAAAATGAAAAAAATGTTGTTTGTTTCTTTTGTTTGTGTTTGAAGGAAACCTGTTCATTATCATTGCCACTAATTTGACCAAAACAGTTTTGCCATGTGAACGAAGACATACAGTAGCTCCGGATCGCCCAACAGTTTATAGAATAATGTTTGTGTAAAAAGAGCGCCTTTCAAATGTCAAATTCTAAAGTACATCTCCACTTAGTGGATGTCAAAAATGTGGGAACTATTGAATAAAAATAAAACAACCATTAGGTATTTATTTATGAACATTCTAATAGGTAATCCTGTTTACAAGTGACTCTGCTGAGCCACATTAAACATTTTTGACAAACTCAGCCCGGTTCCTCCTGGCTCTGACTGCTAAAGAGACAGAGGAAGATTGATGCTACGCTAACTTTTGTTAAACGTAAAAATATGCTATTTTCTAGCAGTTGGAGGAAAAATGATGATGTGACTGCGATGATTTATTAGAGTCACCACACTCCAAGTAACCCACACTAAATATCATTAATTCCATATTCCCTCCATCTGTTTTCTTGATTTATTTTATTTTTTTCCAGGACTACAGAGCAGGGCTGGCGATTGCTGAAGTGGAACTGACTGCAGCCCATATCAAAGACATGGACCGCAGGAGTTTTGAAATCAACACACCCTTCAAAAACTTCTGGTAGGTGTTGCAGAGGTCGATGGAAGTGTAATTTTTAAGGTTCCCTGCTTCTCTCTCAACATTCTGGAACAGCTAATGCTAATTAATGGGTGGATTCAGCCAGTGGTGAGACCAATATTGAGTAGAAGTGAAGAAAAAAAATCTCCATCCCTGCTTTCTTTTTTCTGTTCCTTTTACCAAATAAGTTTACAGTTTTTAAATTACCGTTTTAGTCATCAGAAAAATAACTGTCATGAACAAAATAAGTCTTTCCTTTAACACTGCCTGCAGCAATGCCTTCAACAGGTTGACTGCATGTCAAGACTTGCAGCTATATACAGAATTTGGCCACATTCAGAGCTGTTAATATAAAAAGAATTCTCTTTTTCACTCAATTTCATCGAAAACAGATACAAACATAACTTCTGATTTTTTTTTCCCCAAAAGTTGACTTTATAAAACCCTCTATCCTCGTTCCCTTCCTCTCCCTAAAACACCAGCGATTGTATCTGCAGTGCCACCGTGGACACAACACTGTCCGTTAAACGGCCACAAAACAGCAGCGAAGCCAAAGTGAGTCTCCACAGCTTAAAGTGATTAGATGAGTTTCTCGCTAATCCCCGCCTTCAGCAGATAGAGGCGGTGCTATCAATCAATCTGACACACACACACACACACACACACACACACACAAATCCCTACAGTGGCCTCATCAAACCAATTCTTTATATCTACGCTCATTTTTATTCATTCTTTTTGGCATGCAGACAAAATGGCAATAGCATCAGGAGTATTAACGAAGCAGCCAAACAAGGGAACCATTAGAGCTAACACAAACAGATCGATTGCACATATAACCGTCAGGTAGAAGGAACCAGGAGAAAAAAAACAAACAATACTGTTCACTGAGAGCGGGATGAAGAAGAACTGGCGATTGCTTACGAACAAACAAGACGTGCTTCGCCCAAGCAGCTGTGACGGTTGTTTTCTAAATGAGCCATTAGTGCTGAAAGAAGCAGCGCGCTCATTGATCGTCGGCCCCTGAGGGAAGGCAGTCACTTGGAAGGTGTTGGGGCCTTCAGAGACAGGGATACCTGCACAAAACTCCCAGAGGAGGAGGCTTTAACCAGCAAAGTGACTAAAGAAAAGACATTTAATATCTATGTAATAAAGTTCAACTTTAGCCAAATTCTAGTTTTAATGTACTCCTGTAATAGTGTCACATTTGCCACAAATGGTTTTCAAAAAAGCTAAAATACTTATTATACTTATACTTGAATAACGAGTGAAGAGCTAAAGGTAACAATTGGCTGACAAAATCTTTATTCAAACTGCCTAAGCCCAGAATAGCTGAGAAAATGCATCTCAAAAGTAAATGCTACATTAAATACTAGTGATGCAACGAATTTTTGGCCACTGAAAAGTTTAGGTCGAAAATGCACTTTTGGGCCATTTTAATTTTGAAACACTTTTATCACCGAAACAACACCACCAAAAGACCCACGGATAGCGATTCGCAAAACGTGTAATGCTGAAATTTTAAAAGGGGTGCATCTGCAAAGAATTTCTCTACGTCGGGTTTAAATTTTAAAATGAATCACCTGCACCCCAAACATCCCGATTGCTATGCTGAAGGAAGGAAAGCCTCTCTGCGCAAAAGTGAGTTGTTAGCACAGAGTATAGAACTTAGCTTAATTATTCAGTGTTATGTTGAATATATATTGGGCAACATACAACCTGACCTCTGAAAATAGTTACCACTCAGTCAATTGCTGGCTTTTCTACTCATTTCTCTTTTTTATGCTGCCATAAAAGCGTTACTGTTACGCGGCCAATAGGATAATAGACGCCCAGTGGAGGAAAATGGTGCATTAAATGGTGACCGTTGTGGAGGATTTGAACTGAATATGAAGTGATTTCATTTCCTTTTGGATAACCTCGTTTCACATGATGAAAAGTACATTTTAATTAAAGAAGGGACTGGTATTAAGGACCTCAGTTTAATGGGAACGCTTGGACTTTATTTTAAAGAAAAGTTTTCTTTTTCCTTTGTCATTCTGGCTGCCAACCATGAAGGTCATTTTTGGCCATTTGGAATTGAATGTTTTATTAATGGAATACAGTTGGATTTTTTTCTTTTAAAAAATAGGGTTATTTGATAAATGGCTGGAAGTGAGTAGCTCCATATTGTTAAAGTGGAACGAAGGTCGGCTCTTTAAATTTGTCATTTTATTTTTCACATTCCATTGAAGCTAAAATCCTGCTTCATAATTCACATTAAACTTTAACAGGCAAAATGGAAAAGGTAAATGTTTTGCTGTCAAACCTAAGATTTTTAAATCAATGCCTGAACCACAGGTGTCTGAATAGAAGAAATGTAAACATCAAGAAAAGTTTCTAGATTAACAGGTTAACTCGCAGGCTCGTGCCTCTGCCAAGGGTCAAGTTGTTGAAAAAATGCCCAGGTCATGGCTCACCTCTTCAAACTGCTCTTTACAAGTGAATGGTTCTCCATTTGCTTTGTCTGCAGTCATTTGCTTTGTCTGAAGTCAGTCAGTCAGTCACTCCGTCAGTCAGTCAGTCAGTTGACGTCTTCTTGGGTGAAATCAAGTGAAAAGACAATCCTTTGAACTAAAGTCATAGTCATATTATTTATGGTGAATTATTATTCATTTAAATACCAGGGTCTGCAGTGAATTTGAAAAGAAGTACTTTGTTGTTTCTTAAACTACCTGTCAGGACTCAGGTCGTCAGTCTCAGGTCTAGGTTCAAATCACAGCAGTGAAATCATTTGCATCAATTGTTATTATTGCGTTGACTTTGTTGACCAAACCTCAGCTTCTTCAATACTCTGGATAACTTTGTTAGACTTGAGACTTAAAGTCCAGCACAGGGGCCCTGTTTATATAATGTATATAATACTGTATATTTTATAATTAATAGCATCAAGGCTGAAGATAGAAGCTGAGAGCTCATAGTTGTGGTAATGACCGACATTATTTTAGTATTTGATTTTAATATTCACTTGTAGGATATGATTACAGCAAAAGTAACAATTCCAATGACGACCAGTCTCTCAAATATAGTATTTTATTTATTTATTTTACTTTTGCTGTGCTTTCAGTTGCGACTCCATGTTTCCTCTTTCACCACCTGTCAGACTTTGAGAGGCTGTATTGTATTTCCTGACCTGATATGACACCAGGTCTGGACTCCATCTAAAACGCCACAGCTTGAAAACCCCTACTTCTCCCACCTCTCTTTCCCCCCTTTGCTCTTTTGTGGTATTTTGTGGCCATGAAGCAGCTGAGCAGAAGATGTGAGCAGTCCTCTCTGCACTTGGGCCCTGGTCAGAGACTGGCTGGGCACAGAGCGGCTGAACCCAATCAACCTATCGATCTGCTCTGGCTTGTTTGCGTGGAACTGGCCCAGTTGCACATCCTCTGCTCGAGGTGAAAGCTTCTCCTCTCTGCCATCTTCTCTTTCCTCATCTTTGGGCGTACTCTCTGCGCCAGTCGTCAGGTTGCCATGGAGATCACTGGTCCCTATCCCCCTCTCTAAGTGGTACTTTCAGTCGCACTCTTCTCTTCATCTATTTTACTCTCCATTTTTAACTATATATATGTATGCATACATGTATGTGTGTATGTATGCGCACATACACACAAACGTCTTGTTTCTGAAGATCTAGAAGCTTGTTCAGAACATTGTTCACATACATGTCGTGTGTGTGCGTTTGTGTGTGCGTGTGTGTGTCAATTCAAGTCAATTCCAGACTTTGTAGGTGCTGTGCCACCGCCCAGGTAGATAGTTAAGGGTCTTTGAGTGGTCATCTTGGGCAGACAAATGACTTTTTACCATAATTATTTGACTGCCACCACTTTCCACAATAATGTACCAAGCTGCATGAAGTAAACATTACTACAATTATGCATCACTATTACCGATAACTTCTCAAAGTTTGGATTCAAATATTTTCTTGGCCAAACCTCCGTATTTTGACCCATGCCTTATGTTCAGGAGGACTGTCCCATTGAAAAGGCCAACAGCCTGTCACTGCTTTCCTAATTGGGTATTGTAGCTAAACAGAAGTATTACTTTGACAGCAATGAAATATCACCACTGCATTGTTAAAAACGTAATTGCATCAAAATCAACAGCAGACAAATAGGCAAATATATACATTTTACAGCAGAGTTGACATTGGCATCAGGAGGATCTGAGAGAAACTTTGTTTGGTTTCACAGTTTCTACAGGTTTCTTTGTATTGGGTTTGTGATGAACCTGCTGGTTTTTGTACAGATATTTCTCTCACTGTGCAGCCACAGTGTATAAATGTCTTTATGATGCGCTTTACTGTATATGGTAATGGCTTTGATCCTTTTCTTTCAGCATTTCTCAACTCTCCTTGTTGTAATGTAGAAATAATATCCAGGAAAGCTTTACAGATTTTATTGATGGAGGTGAAAGTATAACTTTATTATCACTCTTTTGCTCATCTCTGTCCATTCAGCTTCATCAACTCTATCTCATGGTCGTACATATTCAGGAACCCAGCAGTCAAAATTCTCCAAACACTTACATACACACGTCCGTCACCCTGCCAAGCACTACTCTGCCGTTTAATTGCTCTCTCAAATCAAATCAATAGCAGTCAGGCCTGTGTTATGGGCGGGGGCTAAAAAAATCAATTGTGTTGTAGCTTCACAGCCGAGACAGAATGCGAGAAGGAGGAGTGGATTGAAGCGATCCAGGAATCGATCGCTGAGACACTTTCTGACTATGAAGTGGCGGAGAAGATTTGGTTCGACGAGGCCAACAGGATCTGTGCAGACTGTTGCGCCCCACAGCCGGAGTGGGCGTCGGTCAATCTGGGCGTTGTAATCTGCAAGAAATGTGCAGGTAAGAGGAGAAACACATACACATACACACACACATACACACACACAGACACACACAGACACACACGGTTCATCCCTGGCTTTTCATCAAACAGCATAGTACACACAGAGTGAGGTAAATGCTAAAATAAACAATCCCCTGCCCACAAAGAAGGAGCTGCACATACACAGCTTTGTGTGATTGGCAGCAGGCAACCTGTGCTGCAACTGATCGTTTTCAAAGCGGTGGCTCTCCACCTACGAGGTGAGACTTATGAGTCAACACAACACACAGGAAAGGGCTTGAGATTTCATAGTTAACGAAAGCAAAAATAATCTTTAACACTTGCTGGATCCTGGTTTGCCAATGAAAGCAATGCAATATGTGGTTAATGACAAGAAGGCGTTTCAGTTCAGCCTTTGTTTCTCAGTTGAACAAGGGGATTCGTTTTTAGGTCAACGTTGTTTTATTGAGTTTCCTATTTTTTCCTATTTCTTTTTTTATTTTCTTTTTATTTGATGAAATCAAGTGCAGGTAGTGTGAAGTTCAATCTTCTGGGTACAAAAAATCAAGTGCAGGTAGTGTGAAGTTCAACCTTCTGCGCTGTAATGCTCATTTCATCTTTTTACTTTAGTAGACATGAGCAGGCTGATGTTGTGTAAGCCTGTGGAAATACTGTGTCCTTATTGATTTGTTAATGCTCCCCGAGGTGAGAGACTATCTACCACCAGGTCAACACACTGTATAACATCGCAGTTTAAAGACAAGGGTTAAATAATACACTAAAGTAGTGGGCCTCATGCTGAACTCTGTGGGAGGCCAAACCTTCTCTAATTTATGTGAATGCTTTAAAGAATTAGGAGGTATCCCATAATTCTCTAAGAAACGGTAAACACCGTCAAAGAGGTGACATCCTTGATCTGTGTTAAGCTCCCTACATACTGTAGTTGTTGTGTAGTGTCTTTTTCTTTACTCCCTCCTCCAGATTCTTTCATGAGTGGCACTCCTCACCCCTCCTCTGTAAAGCCCATGTAAATGGTACCCATCATACACCCAGTATCCCTTTTCAAACAGCCCTAAGTGATTTCATTTGCAGCGCTGTTTTAATATTACATTTTGCTGACGTGCTGAGAGAGAGGAAAGAAGGATGGGGATGCTGAATATCTGCAACCAGGAGTCTATCCTCGTACGCTCTTATTTAAACAAGGTGGTGGTCCATTTGGAATACCAGTGACTGCTAACGCTTTTAATTAGCACTCTCACATCATGGACAATAAAGAGAAATGCTGAACAAGAGAAAAGGGAAAGGCGTAATGAGAAAGCTAATAGTAAAGATGATCCCAGGTCTTTTTTTTTTCTTCCTCTGGCAGAGATAGAATGAATTTTAATAGTCTGCAGTCTCTAACTGGCTGTTGAGTAGCGGTTTCTGCTCAGGTCGCAGCACCGCAGCGTGAAATTCACCTCTGACTATCTCTCTCTCTCTCTCTTTCTCCCTCTCTCTCCCCCTCTCCCGCTT